TCACCATCCACTGAGAATGCAGGTAGATGAGGAGTACCCTGCAGCTCACACTTTACAGATGAAGCCTCAGTATTAACTCCAACAGCAGCTTTGACCTCTGTACACTTCACCCTTTGTTTCAAACCATCCCCACAACCAGTCAAGGCAAGAGATGTGCTGAGCTTTAAAAAACCCAGAGCTAATGTCAAATAAATATAGAGAGCAGAGATCTTCATCCCTGAAGTGCATGTATGCATAAGTTTGTTATTACTGGTTTATATAGGTTTTCAGACAAACGCTTCTCTCCTATGACTTTTCAGCAGCTTACATCACAGAGAAGTTGTCCTTACCCAGTGGTTTTGTTTGACTCTAGATACAGTATGTCAGTTTTAGTAGACTGTATGTACCATGCAGCCTCCACAGAGTGTCACTGTTTCTATTTCTATTTTCAAAAGAAATCAGTTCCAAAAATGAAAGCTACAAGCTTTGTTCAACAAAAATAAATATTTAGGTTATATTTTTGATGAGTATCTACCATTTAAAGATTATATCAATATTGTGGTTAACTCTGCAGGTAGAGCTTTATGGCCAGTGCCAAATAGGCAAAGATTTGGGTTTTTGTACTTATGCATAATTTAATAAATCATGTGTATGTCCTGTGTCCAACTATGTAGCAGGTATCTGGGGATTCAGTGAACAGGTGATGTGTTAATTCATCCATTACATTATAGAGCACCATGTATTCTTGGGAGTTCATACATTTACAGGGGTTTTGGCTATTATTATTTTGGTTATAAGGGGATGGGAACCTCCAAATGTTGGACATAGGAATGAAATGTTTTGGCTCTATAATGGAGGTGAAATTGCCTGAACATCAGAGCTTTAATTGGAATTTCTTGCATGAACTAGTATAATGGAGGTGAAATTGCCTGAACATTAGAGCTTTAATCGGAATCTCATGCATGAGATTAAAATATTGCTCTGTATGATTGTCCGTGCAGATTCTCAGTCATCCAGGTCATAGTAAGCTGAAAAAAACTTGACTAGGTTTTTAGGTCAAAGACGTTTCACCTCCAAGAGGCTTCATCAGTTCTGAAATGAATGTCACCCAGCTCCACATCACCGCAGTCATTGGTGAGAGTGTGAAGACGTGGGGGAGAAAGGATACTCAAAATGACTGTTGTTGGCCACACCGTTGAGCACCAGTTCAGTCTGGCCAACATTCAAGATCCATGAATCATTAGCCTTGACCTGCTGGTAGAGTGGGGGGCCATGGTGAATGTGCCTATGGCTACGCTCTGCCTGGCTGTGGCTCTCCACACTGCTGGCAGGGAAGGGCTGTGACCGGCCGGGGGGATCATCTACACCACCAGGGCCACCCAGGGGCCCATCCACAGCTACACCACTTTCCCAAGCAATGTCTACCGAGACCAGATGAGCCTTCAATGGTATGTGTGAGAGAAGCTCAGGAAGGACGAACTGCTGGTGCACCGAGGACCTGGACACCATCACAGAACAGGTGGCAGCCTCACAAATCGTTTTCCCCACCAGGTGAGGTCTGAGGAAAGTTTACACTTAAAACTTTATTCACGGATATCAATGTAAATCATAAAATAGTTGTCATATAATAATGTGTTTTATTTAGAATGTGATTTTATAATTGCATAAATGTTTGATTTATATGGAAAAAAATATTCAAACAGTGGTTTAAATCATATTTCACATTGGGATTTTCTGTACAAGGCAAGACAATTCCAGATTAAAGGACATTCCAAAAAATAGCATAATAACATAACAATGACAAAATAAAATGTTTAATGAAAAATGTCATGACCCTCTAGAAAGTGCAGCAAAAGCTTGAATTTATAAGTTGTCATGATAGCCATTACCAAATTTCAGAAAATGTATTAAGACTGATATTTTTATTCATTAGGTGTTTCTTGGTGTTCTTCTTTGGTTTAAACAATATGATAAAACACTTGGGAGCAAATATACACAGTATTAAACCAAAACTGGAGACCAGAATAGCAAATATCTCCACAGCCACAGTAAACTTCCCAGGAGAGCTGACATATGCTGGGATAAAAGTGATCCAGACTGCACAGAATATCAACATGCTGAACGTGATAAACTTGGCTTCATTGAAGTTATCAGGTAGTTTCCGGGCTAGGACGGCTAACACAAAGCAAAAGACAGCCAGTAGGCCAATGTACCCGAGCACAACCCAGAACCCAACAGCTGAGCCCAATGCACACTCCAGGATGATTCTGTGTTTGTATATGGTTAGGTTTTTCATTGGAAAAGGGGGGCTAACAACCAACCAGATAGTACATATTAACACTTGGATAAACGTGAAAGACACTACAGTCATTCTTTGCTGTGGAGGACCAAACCATTTCATCACATTACTGCCTGGAAGTGTCGCTTTGAAGGCCATTAACACCACTATAGTTTTCCCCAGAACACAAGAGATGCAGAGGAC